GTCGTAAAAGTAGGATGGAAATCCTTCGTAGACATTCGTAAGTGATAATCTTTCGAATATGAAAATAATTGTACGAAAAACTTCTGTTTGGAAGTTAGAAATTTTATTTAATTAACAATTAGAACCATTTATACTTTCCGCTCTTGCGTAATTAAATGTTGGCCTGATTATGGTCGTCGCGTTAAAGGAAACTATTCGTGAAAAGTGTCTTAACGAGATTATCTTCTAGGATTATCCAGGTATTCAGAAGAATCGGATAGAAGTTATTTCCCGTAAATAGTTCCTCGTTTGACACGTTTATGTAACTAAAATGATTGTCGTTCGCGATGTCTCACGGATTTTCGCTGACGTTTCGTACTTCCTTACACGATTCAATGTCACGTTGCTCGTCTTCGTTATATCATCAAATTGAATTATTATATTACGGTCGCTTACGTTCACTTGATCCTTTGATGTTTGCGCAAAAATTACCTTCTCTTAGCGGGACGAAGAATAATGATTTGATGTATATTTATAGAATTTTGAAATTTTATCAAATTTGCAACACTTCTTTGGAACAAGAAGAATTTCAAATGAAACGAGATGAAATTCCATAGAAAGAAAGAAAATTGTTTAAACCTACTTTACATCTTCCTACCATATGTAAATGATTTAAAATTTTTATTTATGCATTTCTCGCTCTGAAATATAATATTGACATATGTATGATATTATATTTCATACAATATAAAACGGGGGCAAATTCAATGGAGAAACCCTGTTATAATGCAAATGGTTAAATATAAATTAACCGTGCAATCAACTGCGGGTCAACTGATTTCTATGCGACGGTTTTATAGCCAGTCATTAATATTAATAATGTTGCATCTGTGTACCGGCAAAAAGGTGCATATATACGATCATAATGATTTATCGAAGATCAATAAATGTCTTATGACCCAGGTAGAGTAGGTGCTCGGTAATTCCCTTTATTTGGGTCTCCGGTGTTTCAAACAGGGAATTAGCGAGTTCCAACCGTACAGGTACATTAGGTAATCTATATGAACCCAGCAGGTCGTCGCATTACATTTTTCTGCAGTACCGTATTGCGATATATTATCGCGGTGCCAAAAGTTTCCGGCCTGGTCGATGTACATATACCGGGTGTCCCGTTACGAGCCACGTCTCATTCTCGATGTTACCCATTGTTTAGCCTCGAGCTGACGAAAGTTTGCCGAACTTTTCTCAGACTATGCCGTTGTTCGTGATTCGCGTAATTAAGCAAGTTTTCTGTTCTTCATCGGCCAATTATCATCACTGACGTTTGTTCGATTCGTTCGCGTGTTATTCGTTTTTGCTGAGAATTTTTACATAACATCAATTGTATGAAATTTCAAATTCAGATCTTTTTTTTTTTTTTTTTAGAGAAAGGAGGCCTCGTTACTCGAGTGTAAAATTTTAGTCTGTAATTAAAAATTATGCTAATTTATGGATTCTTATGGAAATTTAAGCGGCGCCCGTGTATGGTAATGAACCTGTCTAGTTACGTAACTTGAAAGTAATAAAATTTGAAAATTTCTGAAATTTCGTGATAGAAACTCGTTTGTATTTTCAGTGATATCGAGGGTGAGTATATTTGAGGATAGCATTGAAAGGGTTAATAACGTTTGATCGAACGTGTCTCGAGATGGTTCGAATCCCATCGCTAGCAGTGACCGTTCATCGTTACACGTGTAGATCGAATGGTTCCTCGCGTGCTGGAAGGTCTTCAAGTTGGTAGCGATGGGTTGGGCACTAGGTCAGCCTTTCGGTCGGCCGCGAACCGCACGATATCCTACCGCAACGCCGTATTTCAACTTCTCGCCGAATCCGAGCACACTTTTCCAGCCTGCACTCGCACGATATCCTACCGGCAATGGGAATAACGGATCGAAGGTCAGGAACTGGGTTACAGGGAAAAATGCGACGAGTCTCTACCTTTAATTCATAGTCACTTTGCTCCATCAATCAAGACCGTGAACCGTTCATTGCGGTGATTGCTTTATTTTTAATAGAGGTTGCCTTCCATTCGTTTCTAAGTCATTAGCAATGGGGTTCTTAGAATCTTAGAATTTTAGAATTTTAGAATTTTAGAATCTTAGAATCTTAGAATCTTAGAATCTTAGAATCTTAGAATCTTAGAATTTTAGAATCTTAGAATGTTAGAATCTTAGAATTTTATTATTAGAATTTTAGAATCTCAGAATACGTATTAAAATACTAGAATATTAGAATTTCAAAATTTAAAAAATGTATCGACCACTAATAATCAGTGTTATGAAAATAAGGCAATCTGATTGGTCGCGCCCCACCCCAGCCCGCGCGTATTTTCGGTCGCGACGTACGATTGGTCGAAGCGGTCGCGTGTACCAATTAGGCTGGTATAAAAGTAGGGGGTTACTCGATGTATGCGTACTACCCCGTCTTTCCCTGTGCCGTTCGGCATGACTTCTCGTGAGCGGAGGACAGTACAATTTTAGAATCTTAGGAGGCTGATGAGGTCAATCCATATTTCTGGGTATCCATAATTAAATATTCTCGAAAGAAACACGGGTTCGTCTAAAGCTTCCAGAAGAATCTCGTCGAGCCAATATAATTGGCGAACGATGAATCGAGACTGTTCGAAAAATCAACACATCGAACGGTACAATAAAAAAGGATCTCTGTTGAATTTAACAGTGCTCCGACTGGGCCAGCTGAAAGTGTTTCTAAAACGAGACTGAACATGGCTCCCGTTAACAGCTTTATTCCTTTCTATACATTTTCTCATCAGCGCAAATATTCGCAACATAACTGTACCGGACGCGTTTACTCGACAATTTGTTCTTCTTCTTTTTCACGTTTATTCGCAATCCTGTACAAACCAATAACAGGCGAATGTTATATTCTAGAGATAATTCGTTCAATGACTCATATACACAATCAAGTCATACATTGACGTATGTACTAGACTGTTGTATATCAGACCAGTCCAAGACATAAGCAACGATTTGATGACATAAAAGTATCATAAAATATCGCTTACGATATATCAGTTTGAAGTTTCAAGTTTCACGATAATTATTACATAAATATTTCCTTAAGAATGTTAATATTAAACGGCTGATTACCAGTTTCAACAAATAATGACGTAATTATTTGACGCAACATCGTTAAGTATGATTTTTATTCTCAAATTTATAAACTGTAGTTTCAGTGTAGAAACAATGTTTCACACTTCTCATAGAGCCTTTTAAACATTAACCAGCAGACCTGACCGGAAGTCGATGAAACGTCAACAGCTGATGCAGTTTCAGCCAAGGCAGCCACTGTGCTTCCTATACCTGACTTTGAATTCGTTAGTTGTCTATACTGCGCAACATAGCCTCCTTCAATTTTTCATTAGTACGAAATCAAGGTCGCGGGTGATCGATCATCTGTAAAAAAACGTGTTCCACGTGTCTTGTTGGCTGATAAAACCGATGGTCGTCGTTTAAAGAACCCGGTTATTTCATGTAAATTATTCCCTTTCACACCTAAAATAATGGAGAAAATTAGAATAATTAATTTGCAATTCAGTTAATTATTAGGGGGATAATTTTACGAACTTTTAAAATTTCTGTACATTTCTTTTTCGGCCTCGATTCTCAGTCGTTAAAAAAAAGTGATTTATCATTAATTATGTAAATTCTCCGAATTTATTGAGAAATAGTTAAAATTTCTCCCGAGATTGTAAAAGAAGACACTCGTGACGCTGTTCACTGTCGAGAAAGTGTCCTTGTGCAACCAATTGATTTTTAAACAACTACATAAGTGTCCTACTAGCTAGATGATACTTCTATCCAATTTTCCCAGAAATTTCTTGATGCAACATACGGGACGTTGGAGAAAGATATCTATATTAATTTTATTATTTTACATCAACGTATATCAACCTACCCTCTGATAGATACATTTCTAGATCTATTTTCGTCTCTTCGCAACCTTTAAAAACTAGGCACGAAAAGTTGAAAAAAGTACTTTTATAGCCGCGTACGTTGTAAAAACTTTTCGATGGATCTTGATATAGAAAGACACGTGGCAGATTCGCGATTGTGCCAAAAATGGCGATCGGGGCGGGTCGATCACGAAAATAAATCAGGGTCGATTAACGCAGAAAACGAGCGGCCAAAACGATTAGTTGCGGAAGTTGGACCGATCCGGAGTTCGTCGGTTTAGGAACTTTAATTGGCGTCGAATTAATCGATGCGACGTAGACAGGACCGAGTCGCGAGGCATTTACATACCTCGATAATTACGCGAGTTTACGCGACAAAAAAAAATTTCTTCCTTCCTAGCATCGTCCTACCCCTTTGGCATCTCCTCGGGTGCAATGACAATGCATCGGATGGGACTCCCTATATATACCCCTATGGCGAACCACCGCGTCTCTTTTCTCTTGTAACAATTCCTGTTGTTTTACAATGGAATTCACCTCGAGTTAGCTGGAAACTACATGCTAGACAGGCGCAACTGAGCAGATACAGTTATCCGTGACTCTTTCTAACGAAGATGACAGAGTTTCTACTTACTCGCGGCTCGCTCGCCTTGCTGAACGTCCCTGACCTTACGGAAGCAGGTTCGTTGAACCGTTCAATATAGAGATGTCAATTGATCTCACGATTGCATCAAACGTAGTCGACACGCGGATTCGCTTTTTCAATGGCTCTAACAGAGGTTTCGTCGTCCCGGTAGAAATGAACGAAACGAATTACACAACCGCTTTCACCGAAATCTGTTAGATTGCCGAGTCAATTCGACTAATTTACGATTTTGTTTTTAATAGAATTATGAAATGTATACAAATACTAATTCCTTCCCCTCCAATTCCTTAGTTCCAAAAATCCATATATGCTATACCTATTTTGACGGATCTATTTAGTGTTCACTCACTGTTTAGAGTGAATTAACGGGGTGGGTTTGAATAATTTTTTATTTAACAATGAAACGTTTTGTGTTTTCAGGCAGCGGAAGCACGAGGCGAAAAATGTGGTGTTGGAAGCGGTAATTCGGCGAACTGGTTAGAAAGGAAGCCGAGGGAGGAAAGGAAGCGGTAGGTAAGGACGAGATGGCGTCTACAAGCGGGCACAAGAGGAACGGCTCGAGTTCGAGCATGTTCGCCCACAAACGCACCGAGTCCGGCGGTGGTTTCATCGGCCACAAACGTTCCGAGAGCGGTCACAAGCGGGCCGAGAGCATATCCAGTGCCTTTGGCCACAAACGATCCGAGAGTGGTCACAAGAGGAACGAGAGCGGCGGTGGTTTCGGGCACAAAAGGTGAATTTTACACCGTGAACAGAATTTCTCGCCACTCGAGGAGGCTGTTCTTCGCGGACCAGGGAAATTGGTCCGCTCCTCTTTGTTCCCCACTTCGAATGGTACCTACAAAGTTGAAAGGAGCGTTACTCGTCAATTTTCACGCATACCAGAATATTCCCAGGACGTCTCGAAATTAATTGCATTAATAAAAATTGTCGAATTTTTCTTGCGTACCCATTGGACTGATATTTTTCGAGAGATAATTCGAGTAAGACGGGGGAGGTGTTCCTGTTACCCTCCTAAGCAATACGATCCTTAAAGGGGTCTACGTGTAATGTTTAAATAGAGGTTCAACGTGTTTCAGAGGCTTCTAGGATTCTTTTCCCTTTTCACCCTTATTCGTTAACAGAAGCTAACTCGGTAACTGAAAATTACATTTGTCAGGCTGTAGAGATCTTCCTTTTACTGATACCATTATAGAAGAACCGTGCTATGTAATTTACTTTCTAGCAGATGAAACCCTCTTTCTTTCAGTTTCATTCCAAAACTCATTTCAAGTTACATCGCTTTTTCAATATAAATCAAAGTTCCACTCGAGACAGAGTGAATAATTTCTAACGATAAGTAGGTACCGTGCGTTATGGTTCATGGTTTACATCTTTTGAGGCATCCTGTATAGGGCGTTTGGAACGAAGGGGTTAAATGGAACGTTGTCCACTGACCTTTCCGTTCTCACGTTTTTCTTTTTCCAGGTCCGAGTCTGGCAGCAATTATCATGCCGGGCATCGAAGAAACGAAAGCATGTACGCGATGACGGGGCTTTACGCGGAAAGCACGGGGACAGCCACTGACGAAACTACGGACCCATTACAGGCTACCGGTAGCAGACTGACCCACGACACTGTGATCAGGTGTCACAGTAGAAATCCCAGTTCTGGCCTCGTGGATCATAGGTAAGAGACATTTCGATGCGCCATTGCCAAAAATCTCGGGCATTGTTGAAGAGGTGGATGAATTGCACGGTGATTCATGAATGATCGTTGTTGCGTCACCACAGCTGATGATGAGTGAAATTAAACGGTGGAATAATTCATTGCTAACACTTTTTAATCTCCATTTTGTTTTTTTGTTTTTTTTTTCTATATTTATTTGATTTAAAAATTGAAATAGTTAGCTTAACACCGCAGTTAATGGAGTGGATTACATTTAAAGCTATCGTTACACTTCTTGGTAGAGTAAACAATAAAGCAACGAAAGGAAAGTGTTTCTTCGGAAGATTAATTAGCAGATGCAGCTGTTCTGCTTCGAGTAATCGGTTTTCCTTTGCTCTGTGAACTAATTTCTCACTTGTACGGAATCTGTCGCAAACACTTTCGACATATTTCACACCTCCTTATTATTATATAATATTATTTATGAAATTTCAACGATTGAATGGGAAACCAGAGGCAATTATTTCTGGTTAAATATTCCTCGAGTTTATACCACCTTTTTATACAATTAATGAATCTGAACGAATCTGGAAACAGTTTGAATGCAAAGGATCACGATGCCTTTTGTTCCTGGCAGAAAGCGAGAAAGCATACAAAGATTTACGATAGTACCCTCATTTCATTCAGTATTCGAGGATAGTACAAAGGCTCGTGATTATATTTCCACCACATTCGAAAGCATTTTCTTTCATCGAGTGTACGTTCGAGCTTTTAACCCTTTCACAATTTAGCAGCAGCCTCGGGCGACGCGTTTAGCTCGAAACTGTTTTATTTGCCTCGAATCAAATTCGTTATTGTATACGGAATAAATAAAAAATAAAATCTTGGAATTTTAATAAAATTTTGTATTTAAAAAATGCAGTAAATTTTTAAGTTGAATCAATAAATGTAATGTTTCCGACAAAGTTATTCGTTCCGTTCCACTGCGAGAAGAGTTAAACAACAGTTTCTGCTCACTGAATCCGCTAAGTAGATTATGTAAAATAACGATTGTGCGTAACGTTAAACCAACTAACGCGAGGGAAACGTGATCATTCTTGAACGAAATGGAGAGAAATAGAAAAAGAGAAAGCCATTGTTGTCGAGTGACGAAAAATATTTTCGGTGATCATCTTTATTACGAAATCAAAAATGTTTGCAGCACGCACCGTTCTCTTGCCAAATTTCCGTACAGAAATGGCGTACGAATGAGTCTCCGTTGAAAATTGCAATGTAATTCCCTTCTGAAATAGCAAACAGTGAAAGTACGACCGTGACACATTTATCGTGCACGAAATAGATTACAAACTATTTTGTAATTGTTACTATCCGTTCAAACTTCTTCTTTGATCGCGAAATCGTGAATTTTGTAATCATTCGACGACTGTGATTTGGATTTTTAATACATGCCTCACCGGTGGCCTATTGTAGATATTAAACGTTTAACATTTGTGAAAATTTCTAATTAACACATTGTATGCACGCATTCATTGTGCGTCATTTGGCACGAGATATTCATGCTTCCCGTATCTTCTTCTTACACTTTTTCAGAGATTTTATCATCAAATGTCACAGCAGGAATCCAAGTGCTTCCATGGTGGACAGGTAAACACAGCACGAATCTCCTATCGTTTTTTGTAACTAACGAATAAAACAGCATCGATTGGAACAAAAATTTAATGTTTAATTTGTATCGTTTGTACTAACTCTAATTAATCAAATTATTTATAACATTATATTTTTGTTGCATCCCTTTGATTCTAAGTCTCTCAATCATTTTATGTTCTCTGATCCTTAGATTGCAATAAATTACCTTTACAAGGACTGTGATTTATTTTTAAACAATTACGCACAATACTTGCGAGATACGATCTGAGAAGATAGAAGGACACGAAGCTTGAGAGTCAGATTTCCTTTTGAGAATAATCTCACTTGATGCGCTCAGGATTTGTTTTAAATAAGGCTTGTTTGAAGTAACGCCAAGTAGCTTGCTCGAGTTTGAATAAAAATAGATATGAATTAGGATTGATGGAATTACAGCTGGTTAACTTAATTTGAATAACTTTAGCTGGAATAATCAAATGATTCTATAAATTAAAGAAAAAAAATTAATAATTTTATTGCAATCAAAGGATCAATGAAATTAGCATACCTGTTTCTCATTTCCTTCTTTATTATCTACATATCTTTAACAAGTTTCTATTTTTTCCGACGAATTCAGAACGGAGAAAGAGAGACCACAAACTCCACCATTTAATCCGGATTCGAAGGACTGTGGAATCCTGAGCTGCAGGCCGGCCTTTATACAGAGATTCGCCGGAATAAAGGTTCGTTAAGTTGTAATTCATCTTTTTATTTTTAACTCGAAAATGATGTAGGATTAATTTAACCCGTTAATTTTAATTAAACGGGTTCGTTTGAGAATCTAGTTGCAAAATGATCCATTTCCAATGTACCAATTAATAGCTAGGGGTCCCCCAAGGTCCATGGCCCCCATAAGACGATTTTGCGTCTAAGAATGCAAGAAGAGTAGTGTTTACTTGAATGCAAATCTAAATTAGTTATCCAAGCTTTAATGTTAATTTTATAAATTTTATTTGAGGTCCTTTTTTTCAAGTCAAGGAAGAAAGAAAGGGCCATTTTTCGGAGCTCGCCACGAATCCCCGAAATTTCAGGGCCAGCTCTGTTAATAGCTTTTGTTTCGATGATGTATCATAGCGGACTTAACCGTGTACGGTGTACTCACGGATGTACAAACCAGGTGTCGTGAGTCACCATTGGAAAGGATACACGACATTGAAATATAGCTGACATTCCGTCGAAGATTTTAAGTCATCGAAAGTTGGGCTAACGTTATCGATAACGATTGTTAATGTAAATACAGTTATACCTCTATAAGTCGTCATTTTCCTTTCCTCGTCATTAAAAAATTTACATGGTTTTTACACCGTTTAAGTCGTCAAAATTTCTCGCTTCTTTGAGTGACGACTTATCGAGGTTTTACTGTATTCGAAATTTTTAAAAGTCTAAAATTTCCATGTGTCATTAATTTGTTAAAAGCAAACGCTTTGTTATGCAAGTACAATGATTGTACTTGCCTGAAGTAATCAAACAAGGATAGGTTCTCTAACGCTACTCTCCAAACATTTTCGTTTCCACTGTTTTATTAAGCGTAGCAGAACATTATCAGAAAAACGTTTTATCATGTTCTCATCATCGTTAATGCGGCGTTTTACCTTCGTTAGTTAAAATGCACTCAAGGGTACAATAGTATCGAATCGATAAACCTGCTGCTTATCTAATCGGGTTTAATCGTTTGATCCGGCAGCAAGGATATAAGCAAAAATCGGTATTATCAACCGAATGAGTTTTTTTGTAATTCATTATAGAAGGGAAGACTTTTATCTGGATTTGTTTTCCTTCTTTCAATTAAAAATGTTGATCAAAAACATTACGTTGCTTTTATAAATGAATGATAAATCTAAATTTTTTTTTAATACAAGATATTCAAGAATTCTTCCAAGATGAATGAAACATTTTTGTTTCATTAAAAATCCACGAGAATACATTTCTGAGTTCACTTCTGAAAAAAATAAATGAATATTAAATTTTTTAAATTTGAAATTTAAAATTCTTTCCTTCCTCCAAAGGTTACAATAAAAAAATCTTGTGCCAACATTCACTCACATGTATCGAAACGTGTTTTAAAAAAACGACAATTCTGTTCCTATCCCATGGAGATTGCAGATGTTCACAATCTTATCGTACGTATTTTTAATCCACTTGTGTGCACAAGTATTTGAAATACACAGAGACTTTGCGACACTCGTAACACCACAGTGAAAATACATCACACAACTTGTTTGATTTACCTGAACACGTGTCTTCCATCATCCGTGGTTCAAGGTTTAATTAACCCGCATTAACGATGATCCTTCCTGACGTCCACTGTGTTCAGCGAACAGCCGAACTATTATTTTTCCAGTACAATAGATACTCCTCGTTCAAAAGCAACACGAACTTCCTACACAATCCCAATTAAATTTAATTTGAAAAAAATTGTTTTTGTCCGTAGTCAGATATACAAGGTAAATTATATAACGATTGACAATATCGTTTCACGTTAAAAAAGCGTGAAAATTAATTAATTTGTAAAGATAGACACCCTCAGCAATTAACTATCGGATGGCGGACCACGAAGAGAGCCCCTATTTTAATTTAATTTTATATTTCACGTTATTTTCATTTTCCTAAATTTTACCCTGTTCCTTTGAAAATTATTAAAAATTATCATTGTATAGGTTTTATAAGTTTGGATCACGATTGACCCAGGCTACAATGTTTCAAGGCTTAAACTGTTGCTAAGAAACTGTATGGTTTTTGTTGTAGGTGTTTGTGTTCCTTCTCTCGTTTCTCGTAACGCTGCAACAAGCACTTAGTTCAGGTTACATTAATTCTGTGATCACAACCATTGAGAAGAGGTTCGAAATCCCGTCCAGCCTTTCAGGCGTCATTGCTAGCTCCTACGAAATTGGAAATGTCATCACCGTCATCTTCGTCAGCTATCTAGGTAGCCGGAGGCATATACCTGTTTGGATAGCGATTGGTAAGGAAATGAAATTATATAATAAACTTCTCTGTCATAGATAGGTTTATTTTCGAAGAACAAGTATTTGGAAGTGCGCTGCATGTTCCATTTGTTTCTGGAAATTTGAATAGATTGATGGCTGTTTCAGGCGCTGTTATAATGGGACTGGGATCGATGATCTTTATGGTGCCACATTTCACAGCTGAACCCAATTTGATGACAGCCGCGAATAATTCCAGTTCTGATAATATTTGTCGTGGGGTCTCGTTACGTGAACAGGACATGGGATTGGGTAAATTTTTAATACCAATTAACGTTACCTTGAGAGTATAATTAATGAAAACATTAATCAGTGTATCTGTAATAAGTTTGATATTGAATGGAAAAAAAAAGACAATTCGCCTGCTTTCATAGGTCGTTTATCGTCTGGATTATCATCTCCACCTTTAGCCCCGCACAACAATTTAAGAGGTGATAATTGCATTCAAGGATCTCCATCTACAGCTGGCCCTGTTATGTTATTTGTACTTGCTCAGTTATTATTAGGCTGTGGTGGTTCTCCTTTGTTTACCCTTGGTACCACTTACATAGATGATCATGTTCGACCAGAAAGTGCTTCATTGTATATTGGTAAGAATGTATGTTATTTAAAAAAATATCACAAACTCGATGCGTGCAATATTAAATAACACCAATCATTTGTTTCATTGTTTCAGGTTGTATGTACAGTATGGCAGCATTTGGACCAGTTTTAGGTTTCCTTCTTGGAGCTTATTTGTTATCATTTCATATGGATTCCTTTTCTGGAACAATAATTAGTATAGGTAATCAGAAAAATATCCAGTTAACTTCCAATTTTATAAAAGAATTTTATTACTAATTAATTATATGTAGATCCAGGTGATCATAGGTGGGTTGGCATGTGGTGGGGAGGATTCTTACTCTGCGGTTTACTCCTGATTCTGGTCGCAATTCCGTTCTTCAGTTTTCCAAAAACTCTGCAACGAGAGAAGGAGAAAATACGAATCATCGAGAAAACTAAATCGGCGTCGCAGAAGGAGAAGGAACCATGCAAGGAACCAAAAAAGGAGAAACTCGATGATAGTGGTTACGGGAAAGATGTGAAAGGTGCTATCTTGTATACCTTTCATTAAATCCCAGAAAGCTTCTCGATTTTATTCACAATTCTGTTAATAAAGCTAAGAAACCCCAACCTCTAAAAGAATCCTAGTTACCCCGATATTGAAATGATTGAAAATTGGGAGCGAATTGTCGAAAGTGGAATTTAAATTTCTTTTACAGATATTCCTAGAAGTATGTGGAGGCTGGTGTGCAATCCAGTGTACGTGGTAACGTGTTTGGGAGCATGTATGGAGCTAGTGATCGTTTCTGGCTTCGTTGTTTTCCTCCCCAAATACCTGGAGACTCAGTTCAGTCTGGGAAAAAGTCAAGCCAGTGTGTTCACCGGCTCTATAGCGATACCGGGTGCCTGTATTGGAATATTCTTTGGCGGATGTTTGCTCAAACGTTTAGAATTAAGACCGAAAGGAGCGGTTCAGTTCGTTCTCGTATCGAACATCATATGCCTGGTGTGCTATGGCCTCCTCTTTTTCCTCGGTTGTGACAACGTTAAAATGGCTGGGACCACTATTCCGTACTTCAACAGCAGCACGAAGGGCCCGGAGCCCTTTCAAGTTAATCTCACTGCCGCATGCAACTTTGGTTGCGAATGTCGAATGACAGACGTCGAGCCGGTCTGTGGAAACAACGGTCTCACCTATTTCAGCCCGTGTCATGCAGGCTGCACTGCCTTCAGTTCGAAATCAAATTTCACTAATTGCGCATGTAAGTTTGATACAAAACTTCCGACATAGTTTAGTTTGTAACCTCTCTGTATTAACTTTCAATTTTCTATTTTCATTTCAGGTATACATGGAAATTTAACATTGTTGCCTCCCGCAGCACCAGAATTCGCAGAAGTCACTGTGGTACCGGTAGCCACTGCTGGTCCCTGCACTTCGCCATGCAGAACTATATTCCCTTTCTTAATCTTACTTTTCTTTATGACTTTTATCGTTGCTATCACTCAGATGCCTCTACTAATGATAGTGTTGCGGTTAGTTTGAATTTTATCCATGTACAGTTATACGCAGTTATTAAAACTGTACTTTTTTTTTTATATATATGTGACTTTGAACATTCTCTTTCAATATAGGTCAGTCTCGGAAGAAGAGAGGTCGTTTGCTTTGGGCATGCAATTCGTAATCTTCAGACTGTTCGGTTACATACCTGCTCCTATTTTATTCGGTAACTTAATTGACTCTACGTGCTTACTTTGGAAAAGCACTTGTGGAGAGAAAGGTGGACGATGTCTTCTTTACGACATCGAGCAATTTAGATATAGGTATTTTTTTTATGAAGCTCTTGGAAATAATTGGAGTCGATAAATCAACTGATTCGAATCATTTTCAATGTTTTCAGATATGTTGGACTTTGTGCCGGCATTAAGATTTTAGCTCTGGCTTTGTTCCTTATTGATTGGTGGCTGGTTAGGAGGAGAAGACAGATGGAAGACCAAGCGCCGTCTTTCACTGTTAACGAGTTTGTAGGGTCAATTATCAGTCTTGACAAATGTGAGTATGCTGTTAGTTAAGTCCACTTGATTAGAGAATATTTATTTCCAATTGGTAATGTGGTAAGGTAAGGTAGCAATTGGCAGTTGGATATTATTTATCCTGGAATGTTGCAGTGTTCGAAGAGAAACCGCATCATCACAACACTGGAGATGGGGACGGTGTTTCTCCTAACTCGGAGGTACCCACACCGTCATCGATCTCGTCACCAACGGAGCCTACGAAATCGACGAATCTTGAGGAGACTGGCTCGTCGAATCAAACGCAGGATTCGACGGATACAGGGAATCGATCAAAGAACTCGATGAACGTTGATGTTCCCGACACGAGGCAAGCACCTTTAGCTATGGAAGAGCCAGACACTGAGGTGAAACCATTGACCGCTGGTCAAACGGAGAAGCTTGTACGGAACGTTTAATGTTTATCTCGTGTTAGTGGCTATGCAATTGAATATATCAAAGTGGTGATAACACGAGTCTGTGGCAAATTGTTTTAAGGTCAACTATCAGACGTTAAGGAGATGATGATCATGGCTTACAGAAACGACGAACCTTCAGACACCTCTAGAATCGAAGGTCCAATTTTAGTTTAACTCTATTTATTCTACTTATTGATTATTGATTACAGGGCCTTACTTCAATTATGGCACGGTTAAGTTTCAATTGTACCTCTGAATACAGTGTACCGAATTTAGGATCGCTGAGGGCGATTTAAGTACTACATATCAATTTTCTTCGTCAGTTCAATCACCCGAGCAGTAAATAGGTAAATGTAGAAGTAGCAGACACTGTGAAAAATTATCAAGCAAAAGGTTGAGACATAACCTATGCTTGTTTATTTTAGAATTCTTCGTGCTTACACCTGACAACTTCGTAATAGGTTATCTAGGTAAGTGATGGTAGCGTTTTTTGTGAATGGGGTTTTATTTATTGCATGACCCCTTACAGCTCTACCTTATAGAGTAGAATAGAGTATTATAGTGTGTATACTATGAAGCCTATAAAGTCTATAGTATTACAGGAAATTGAAATAAGGCCATAAAAATTCTGCACAACTGTAGCAGTTTATTCTGATAGAGTCTTAGTTACTTTAGAATCTTTCATCCTTAAAAGAGTGGAATGAGTAGAGGTACACTACTCTTGGAGCTTCAGTTTCAGGGTCCTAATTAATTTTAGACCTGAGTTCCTTTGCAAATTATAGATGGTGCGAAGAATCGCCTCTGTAAGTCATAATTATTACTTTTTTAACTCTCTGTACAAGGTACCTATATTATTAACCCTTTGCACTTCGATTTTTCCAAACAGGATAGTACATTTATTCTGGTTAATTTTAAAATGATCGTTACAGAAAATACAGATTGTGAAAAATGACAAGTTCGCGAATATTTTTCATTATTTCAATACTAAAACTGGTACAAATTTTCTGAATGTAGTTCAAAACTAAATCATTGTACCTGAGATACTTGTTTGAAGCGCAAAGGGTTCTAAGGGGGTAAAATATTATAACTTTGAATAAAATGTGCTCGAGTGATTTGTACACACACACACACACACGCGCGTATGGTGCTAATATACTTTTTTAACAAGTTCGAAAGACAAAGAATTATCTCATATCGTTCCGTACACTATCGAAATACAGATTTAAATTACGTTGAAGGTGTTAAGTGAATCGTCTGTTCTCGCATACATTCGGCGCGCCGAATGACAAATATTTTTGCGTGAAAGAAGAAATACACTGGTTTTATCGGACGAAATGATTTGCCACAGATTTGTCTTCTATGGTTTGGCTATTTTTTAGGAACTAATATATATATATATATATCACTAGGGTGTACATTTTTACGGTGATGCGATATATATGTCAATAAGTAGGAACTTAATAGGTGAACTACAGCTCGTTTCTGTCAAAGCAGCTTGAAATTAACTTAAAAAAAAAAGCGCTGCCTGAAACGAGCCTTCGATGAAAAGAGCCTTGCACGGTTTGAAAAAAAAAAAAAAAGAAAAACGAGCGAAAGGAAAAATTAGGAAAGGAATGGCCAACAAGGACAAAAGAGATACACTGTAAATATAAAAATTCCTGCCTTAAGAAATACAAGACTAGACAAACGTATATTTAACAAACAAACAAAAAAAATATAACTGATTAAGCGAACGATAGATTTAACTATCTATAAATATGAATATCATTATAATTGCAGATCGAGAGCTGCGATTTATTTTATAACTATAGCGTTAGGCTTTCTCATGAAACAAAAGAAAAAAAAATGAAGTAGTCAATTTAACGTGTAGCGATGTATAAGAAAAAGAACAAAAAAAAAAAAAAATAGAATTTAACACGACGATCGTAAGATTGTAAACTCGTTTACAAGATAATTTTTTGACACGATGCAATAGCCGTACATTTTTATTCTTCGCAAACGGAACGTCGACGAAATCACGCTTTCTTTTCTTCGGTTTTTTTTTCTTTTTTTTTAACGAAGCGACACACGATCTCTAACGTTTCTTTCCTTCCGAAACGATCCGTATCGAGCGATACTACAAGGTTAAGAAGCTTTCGGAACTTCGAATGCAAGCGTGCGAATCTTTATTTTCGTTTTCTCGTATACACTTCGTGTCCTCTGCGTAGGAGCGAATTATGCTTCCAAGCAACGAAACGAAAGGATGTATGTAAGAGGAACAATCGAGGTTTAGTTGACGAACGATGGCCTCGCATGGGTCAATCGAGGAAATCCGATTTTACACCATTGGACTCGCCTCTTCTTAAGGAGAGTCCGCTCGTTGTTTTGTACCTGAATGCCTCTCGTATCAATTTCGATGTAACAAAACAATGAAAGAAACTATGTAGAAAAAAGAAAACTCACTCAGGAAAATGAAATTCTATAGGGTGTAAGAAGCACCGTTTGATTCAGTGGAAAGATATATAGAGAAGAGACACGAGTAAGTGCAAACAAAAAAAAAAAAACAAAGAAAAAAACAAAAAAAAAAGGAATCCTAGCTTAAGAGAGAAAATTAAGAAAAAATATAATGTTACTCCTATCAGCTCAATTTTGTTTTAAGCAAAATAACGTTGAACCGAAGAAATTTTACCACGAAAAACGTTTTAACCAGATTGATAAATAAGAGAACTCTATTCGCATGAAATTCATGATTTCAACCGTTTTTCTCAGTCGCTTCGGGGTATGAAATCGTTTTACAAGATAAATATATATATATATATACACACACACATATTATGCTTAAATTAGGATGAAGCGAAGAGAAATGAAAGAGTATAGTCTTAATTTTTACACGGTCTCGATAAACTAATATGCTGACGTTGTCTACAGCATTTACTTACGTTTAAACACTTAACCATATGTACCGATATATCTCGCACGCTGTTTGACCCGCGTCACTGTCAATTTTTCAAAATGTGTAGTTACACGCTACTCTATTATATATATATATATATATATTTTAGAGGGAAAATTTTGATGTATGAACGATCGTGTAACGTCCGCAGGGTCGATCGTTCGAATGATTTTAAGAGGCCGTGATGATCTCTCCTAAACCGCGTATTGTCAAGAACTTATTATATTATACATAACTACTTTGTGATATAGAAACAAAGTCGAACGATAGGCTTTGCCGGACGGGTGTAGAGGATTTAAAGAAGGGAAATATGTGCTGTGAATAATAGAAAAGGAAATTATGAAAGAAAGCGGGAAAGGAATGCGCGTCGAATCAAATTTCATTTGCAATTTCCACACTGAATTATATTATTTATTCAGATAAATAGTATTCTTACAATCGTTAATATTACATAAAAAAATGAAAATTGAAACCATTTACAAATCCAGAGAAATTTTATAATTTCTTGTTATACTACACACTCTTGTTATTTAAATTGAAACCTGGCTAATATTATAAAATTATTTTTTCTACAAAATCCTATTTATCTAAACAAATGATATAAATCAGCCTTCACGTATTGTCTTGTCGAGTGATTAGGAGGGATGTCAATTGTTCACGTCATCCGCCGCAACTGTACATAGAAAAGTAGTTAGAACGATTTTCTATCGAGCAAAATCGGGATGAAAGAGTACGCGTTACGTGTAAAGTACGCGATTCAATTAGGAGCTGCGATCGTCGAACAAATGATCACACGGTTTTGTTTCTACGAGGATATTTTTTTAGTCGAGAGGGTGCGAACGATTCGATCGCCTCCCGCGCAATATTTAGATCGTGTTACTTAGATCATTTTTTTTTTTTTTTTTTTTTTTTTTTTTTTTTTTTTTTTATACATAATTTTCTCGGTATTATATATTTTGTAGCGAATCATGCGAGCGTGCAAAAATCGTGTTTCTTATATTTTAAAATGCGTCCTGCGTCGCCGATGGTTTGATACCAGGGTTAATATGATCGAAGATTGAAACAAAGTGAAAGAAACTCATAGTATAATTATAGTTTTATTACAACCAAGCATTATATATTTTTGAATGCTGGTTTGCCATGAATCTTCAATTTCAAGCGGCACGGAACTTGTTCATACAAATATCTATTCTCAATTTCATTTATCCATCATTATTTCTATAATTATTATTATTATTACAGCGCTTTGATTATCTATTATGCTAGTATACTCATCTTTAGTTAGTTAGTTTAATTACGTTTATTTGTAGCTTATTAAACGTTTAATCAGGAACGATATCTGTTTCTGTTTCTTTTTCCTTTCTTTTTCGGTCGTACGATTTTGATTTATTGTACGTAATACATTCCCAAGTTACAGTTAAAAAAAGGAACAGAAGCGAAATAATAAAAGAAAAAGAAAATTATAACAAAAAAAATATATATATATATAACAGAGTTTAGAGAGGGTTGCGTTTAAAGTATTAGGTAGGAAGTTCTAAAACAAATATAACGATGAAAATTAAATTAAAGAATGTTGTGTACATAGATATTGACTATTGTATATGATTAATATAAACTGCTTATAGATGTAATGTATTTTTTGTAGGGACCATAATATATAAACAGAACAATATGAGACGTGTTAGAACGGTACTGATAAGAGTGATATAAAGATATGAATAGAAATGGTTCTATGCGAAGTTTCGTGAAAAAGAAAAAAAAAGCAATACCCGTTTGCTTATGGGAAGAGAGACGAGATGAGTGTCCTGAGAATTATGAATTCAGAGATATATTATAAAAGCTCAGTAAAGAAAATTTAGAGGTACACCATGTCGAGTGTTTACGATCGGCTAAGAATGATAAACGATTATATTTTCTTTGTACAATTCGTGAAAGAGGCCCGTTTAATGAATTCGATCTTTTCTGCGAGTCAAATACTTTGGGCCTCGAAAATTGAAATTAATTATCGTCCAAGGCTGCTCCTGACTGAGCCCATTAATGGAGATCATCTTAAATTAATATTGTTCTCTAATGGTTTCTTAATTTAACACTTTGGTGTACATTTTGTAAATTCTACAAAATGTAGACTTGCAATTTTAGAAAATTATAAAAGGCCCCATATTATAAATTTGAGTAACATTTATAACAAAATTACAATTCGATTTTACTTTCTTAATTAAATTTGTAGATATAGCAATTTTTGATCAAATTCCATAACAACAAAATTTGGGAAAAATATAAAAGAATGCTGAATGCAGCCTTGAACGATCAATTAAGATTCAAAACAATATGGAATGATTAAAATTCTTAGGAAGGAGGATTTTATTTATATCCATGTGGCCACAGTTTGTCTGAAAATGGTGAAAAGGATTATGTTGAATGAGTCTGAAAGCATTTTAGTTTGATTCCAGCAATTTCTAAAGCGATGCCATTTCATTACACGAACAAGGACACATACACACGCATACACACTGTACGTTACTTTGTTATATTTCGAATATTGTACGAATTCTTACAAAAAGAGATCCCTTGAATTTAGTCGACGAGCAAATCACCTGTTCGGTGTGGTTTGTCCATCAGAAATCAATCTTTTTTGATACGCGAATCGATGGAAAAATCATAATCGATCCCGTTGTTGAACACTCGAAATAATATGCCTTAAAAAATGAAAGATTAAAAAAAAAAAAAAAGAAGCGTAATTCATAAGGAACGCTGACGATGGTACAAGTGGCGCGTGAAAATCAATGGTGACGGACGATCGTAATTTGCAGAGAAAAAAATATATATATATATATATTATAAAAATCATGTTAGATGTAAGAGAATCTCGTATTGTCGATTGATTTATCGTTTCCTCGATTAACATAATTTTAAAATCCTACATAGAAAAGTATGTTGTGCGTGCGCGGTCGAGAAGACACTGTTTTATGGTTTTTATTTTATTCTCTAGAGAGAATTTTCTCTGTTTTCGTATCGAACACGTGAATCTCTTCCTTAGGTTCGATAACGAACACTGATTCAATCGGAAAAATTAATTTTTATTTCATTCTTCTCCCTCGACCCGGTGATTGGAAAATAACGACGACGATGATCGTGGTTGTTATTTCGCACCGCTGGTCGAAACTTAACTTTTTATTTCCCTCTCTCAGAAGTAAGGCACAAACAATGTATTTACAATGAATAAATGTTTTGAAAACTGTTAAACCCTATACCTTATTAATATTATTAAATTAGAAAGGAGGGAAATTTGTTTAAAAAAAGTGTAAATTCATGTTTTTGTCATTGCTTTGATCAAGTTTAATGATTACAATTGTTTCTTGGAAAGCGACGTAGTATTACCGGAACAATATTGCATGACTAACGTTACTTTTCTACGAAAAGATTACCGTACCATTCCATTGAATCATACTTATAAAAAGGAACGCCTATTTAAAGAGATATATTCTTTAAAAATTATTTTATAAAATTATCCCTCTATCAGACTTGCACATTCTTTGTGCGATGTTCATTAGACGCGCCTTGTACGGGTGACCTACGTCAAACAAATAAAAATAGCCAGGTTCGCGCACGTGTCGTCGATGTATAATAATTATTCGGGGCGTTGCAAGGCGCGAAATTTAATCGAACTAGCATTCGACATATATTAACTCTAAAAAAAAAATTGTTGCAGGTCGGTGTAATTATTACAACATCGTATCTACGATATAGGACTTTCTTAGAAAACGATGCAACGATTAATTTCGTTTGATCAGCCAGAGAGCATAAACTGTCACCCATTGGTCAATAAGAAAAAAACCAGACGAAGATAACGTTTCGCAACTTTGTTGGTCGGCAAAATCGCGTGCGTCACCAGGCGACCGTTCAAATGTTGCGCGCCACGGGTGGCCGACCAATCGCGTTACGGGACGCCTGTAGCCACCTCGCGGCCTTGTTCGGCCATTTCCGTCAGTTGTCCACAGGCTTCTTTAGCGTGCGGACGTACGTGAGTGTTCAGTGTGTTCTGTCAGCTACGGAGTCGCGTTTTCGCTAACGAACGCCCCACCGTACCTTCCATATTCAATGTGTATGGCGATTCAGGTGAGTGTTTAAACGAAATACGTATCGTAGAAAGGTAATTCGTCCGACAAAAACGTGTTCTCGCGTCGAGTGGCTGACCGTTTGACGAAAAAGTCGATCGTTGCATTCGCGGCAGCCGTCGTGTTACACGCGCGTGTCCTTCGTCTGGCTGCGTGCTTCTCTTTGTATATGTGCGTGCGCGTGTGTGTATTATATATATATATATATATATATATGTAGATTATACATATTCGGATTACGTGTGTTACTCGGTTTGCGACCTCATGCGTACGTGTGCGCGCGCGCGCGCACACGCTTTTGCGTGCACGAATCGGCCCCTCGCCTTGTACACGCTTTGAAATGCGTGTGTGCGCGGACGACGAACTCTGGCGTCCCGTCGAAAGCCGCCGCCACCATAGCCAGCCCATTCGTTCTTCCCTTCGTTTCGAAATAATCCCTAGCCATTGGTAGGCGTCGAAAAGACGCGTTTCTTTTCGTCGATCATCCCCGACCTGTTTCCCTCGAGAAAACTTTCACGCCAGACCGTCCGCATTGTTTCACGGCAACCAGCCGCAAATTCCGTGAACGATTCCGGACGACACGGCATGCCATGCGCCGAAAGGCTATACCTATGATGGAGTAGTCCTTCATTCCTTCGTTCAGACGATTGTGGGGGCTGAAAAACGCGTTCCGTTGCCCGTGTACCGAGTGACAGGCGGTCGGGGCTAGTGGTGAACGACGGATGGATAACACGCGGAGTGCACGCCAGGGGCACGCGTGCTTCTGTTTTGCATCGCATCGTGGACACTTATTACAACGATCCACGATGATCGATCGCGCGGACACACCCGTTTCACGCGGAAATCGAATCGCTTTCAACCGCCGCGATATCCTGCCACGGTAGCTAGCCTCGACGTCGTTGTTTCCTTACGCGCGAATTAAGATGGCAGAATCACGCGAGTTCGGTTTCAAACGAAGGAAAAACGTGTGGATGTGTATTTCTCGCAAAGTTTGTGATCTCGCGTTTAATGGATCGTTACGATGATCGCGAGATCGATTTTAACTGGACGAAGACGGTCGTTGTCCTCGCGTTAGCAATCGTTCATTGGAGCATCTGGTTACAAAAGGGACTTCCGCTTTCTAGCTGTGAGTGACAATTTCCTGTTACATAAATTAAAGTTAATTATAAATCTATTTCATACTATGAACTGAAATGAACATTTAACGTTCACTGGCAAGCGTGGCACATTACATTTATAGGTTAAGTAGTCAAAGATTTTAACGTCATAGCTTGTGGATGGATTTATTGAATGAATACATTTATTACAACGTGTATGTTATTTTTTGACTACAAAGTTTGATGCATCGAAGTATAGGTTATATTTGAACTTGGAAAGAATTGATCGAACGATTATCGGGGAGAAATGTAAAACATATTGTATATATAGATATACTGGTTGCTTCGAAATTATCAGGTTGACCAATGTCATGATTTTGCGTCATTCTGCGAAATGATTCACGTTGTACTGCTATCGCGTGTCGCGTGAAATTACATTTCGATAAAATTTCCTGTTTATTGAAAATCGTAAGGAATCGAAATCGATATCGATTGTCGATATCAGATCGATATATCGCAGGATACTTGGGTCACGAACGAACCAGTTGGTTTCTGTGAATCGTTTGAAAAACGTGAAACCAAAATAATGTCAGGCCGTTGCGGGTTTGTTCTTGCTCGACGGCCATGTTAATAAATTAGAATACATTTATGGTCCCCAACGTGTTTCACCAGTCGAATGACGTCAAGTAACGCAAGGTCGTGCGTGCATCTTTCAACCATTCCGCAGTCCATTAATTTGCAATTATTTCGAGCACAAGTGGCACCAAATGAATGTCACCGACTGGCACAAAAATTATAGAGAAGGAGTAGCATTTATAATTTAATAGTCGACTTCAGTCTAGGTTAGGTTAAGTATTATATTCGGCATTCATGATATTAGGAAATACGGTTGTATTCATTTTTTCTGATAAAATATAAGCACACCAGAGGCAGAAAATTATTTTCATACATGCTTGTGCGTATTTCGATTGACGTCAGTGGGAACGATAAACACGAATCGCATTATTACAAGACACCTTGCGCCTCGTGCAACTGTTACAAAGCCATGTAAGTTAGGATGCGGTTACGCATGGAATATCATCTGGTTCCTTAAATAAAAAATATTAGCAACTCGGTGTTGCATTTCCTCTACATCCGTTTACAGCAATCAAGTTAAACAAAATGGTGTAGTACCAAGCAAAATAAACTTTATTAAGAAAATTATTTAAAAAAAAATTCTCTAAATCTTAATTTTAAAGATATTTTTATTATTACATACAATTTTCAATGAATAAATATCACAAAATATAATTTGTAACCAAGGAGTATGAATAGTGCAATAAACATCCAATCAAATCTCCCGTAAACGTTGCGCGCACGTGATTGGTCCACAGTCTCCTATATATATATGGGGCCATCTCTGTTGCACCGTCATTCTCCCGGGAGAAGCCCACGGTGCTTGTTACCGTACAGTTCCCGCGGGAAAAATTGTAGAACGGCATATCCAGGAAATTTTTCTAATTGCAAACTCTTGTAGATGTACAATTCAGAGAATTCATCTAGGACTTACGGAGTCGTATAACATAGAGCATGATTTTTCTGAATAGAAATCTTGTTATCTCTTTGGCGTGTCACTTTACAAGACCACGTGCGCATCTAGTTTACGCGGGACATCGGATTACGGCTGGTCGTATTTCACTTATGTGATGCTTATTAAATTCAGCACACGTCACTGAATCTTGCATCTCATTGTCTTGACCGTCAGAAAGCATTGTGAACAATTACAATTCTGAAAAAATTGCTCTTATCAACGCGTTCAGCGTCGACCGTGTATCTCATTATCGGTTTCGATCATATCAATTAAATACCGGTCCTTTTAAACATTTTTTTTATCGAATTTCTATTGTTTGTTACAATTTAGTTTATCCTTCTCTATGGAATATCAAATGGCGATTTTCGCGGGTAAAACTAATAGTCAGAGTTTAAACGGGGCTGGGAGATACGCAGGCTATCGATCGGCATTCACTCGATTGTTTCGTCAGTGTTTTCTAAACGCTCCCTTTGTTTCACCTCCCGGTCTATTGTTCTTTGTTGCCGATACATAGGTGCTCGTTACCATTGCGAATACACGCGTGTCACGTATTTACACGCTCGTAAGTACCTTTCGGTTAGCTTGTATGAATTTGTCATTTTTTGAAAGTAACCGTTTCCTTATCGAATTTTTATCCGTGGAAGAGTTGTAAAGTTCAACCATTGTTATACGGGTCCCACGTGCTTCCTTTTAGTTTCGAGGCAACCTTGCGAAACCAGAACGCATAAAATGAGTGAAAAATGTGTCAAGGTTGACGATCGATTGATACGAAATAAAGGACGATGTAGAAGCTTAATTACCGGTCGGAGTAGACGTAGAATGCGATTGGGAACGAGTACAGGTTTATTTTATTTTATTTTCAACCAGGATGGATGAAAATGAAAGGAAATGGAGCATGGTGGATTTTCATTCATAAAATTGTGCCACATGACATATTTTCTAGGTCT